TCCTCTACCTTCATTGCAGAGGCAGGGCTCTATGGATGTTGAATATCACTTATGTTGTCAGATGCACTTGAGGTGTTAACTAGTTTTGCTAAACTTGCTTTTCTTCTCTTTTAAAATCTCTTCTACAAGTGGTGGGTGGATCTCCAGGTATGAAGGAGAAAGGGATACAGTCAGAAATAAATGTGATATAAAAACAAAACATGTCAAAAAAAATTTTAAACATTCAGTCCCCCACCAACCTAGGTTGAGAAGCTTCAAGAAAGGAAGACAGGGTAAGAGGTAATAGTTTATCCCTCCTGGAAGAACCCCAAAGTTAGAAAATGGACAGAACTGGTTTAAATGGCCATTGGTAAAAACCAGTGCTTCAAGTGGAGAGCCAGATGAAAGATTTGCAAAAAAGAAGATGTAGAGAACAATGTAAGAGCACTAAGATGCAAAATATATGTGGGCTCTTAATGGAACTCAACAGTTGACTGGGGAAAGTGTTGATATATTGACAACTAAACTGCATACCAGCGCAGTGGTCCCAGGAAATATGTCCATGCCCTTGCCACTATGAGCCAATTCTATCAGGTACCTAGAGTGAGGCAAGGTCACACACCCTTTCTCAGAGAGGGTTAGGGGAAATGACACCTTAAAATGAAGAAGAAGAATAGAACTGTGAGAACAGAAAGGCACGGTAAGGGCCTTTGATTTACTCATATTCTGAGCCTGGCTTTGGCGCCCTATAAAGGTAGGTGACACAGTGGATGGAGCATCAGGACTGGGGTCAGGAAGATTCATCTTTGTGAGTTCAAATCTGGCCTCAGATAGTTACTAGCTGTCACTTAATGCTGTTTGCCTCATTTCCTTATCAGTAAAATAAGCCTGAGAAGGAAATGGCAAACCACTCCAGTATCTTTGCTGAGAAAACCCCAGGAGAGGTCATGAAGACTCAGACAGGACTGAAAAACGACTGAACAACAAAAACGACAAAAGGCAGGAAGAGCCTGAGGTTCTCTGTTAGTATTCCTTAAACTGGCTTTTATCATGTAGCTTCAAAGCTGAGTATTTTGACCAAAGGTGGAATAAGAGCCATGTGAGACCTTGCTATGGCAGAGCAGTGCTGCTGCTCTAGGGAGTCTGATTACCTGGATAGCTTTCCCTGCAAGTCTGTATTTGCCTTCCCCTGGGAAAAGCGTTATGATGTGGACTGTTCTATCGACTGACTTAGGCTCAGAGTACATCAAAGGATTGGGCAATGGTCATTTTATGTCAAAAGATCAGTGACAACCCTAACAGCACCTTCTGAATCCTTTCTTAGCCTTTTGGTACCAGTTTTGTAGGTCTTCAGAACCTGGTGATAGGTACCTAACATATTTTATCAACCTGAATTATTAGAAATAATCAGTTCCTAAGCCTATCCTCTGGGCAGCTGGGTGGCACAGTGCTAAGGCGAGAGTCAGGAAGACCTGAGTTCAAATCTGACCTCAGACACTTACAAGCGGTAAGACCTGGGCAAGTCATTTAATCCTATTTGTGTCAGTTTCCTCCTCTGTAAAATGAGCTGGAGAAGTAAATGGCAAACCACTCTAATATGTTTGCCAAGAAAACCCCAAATTGGGTCTTTAAGAGTTGGATATGACTGAAACAACTCAACAACACCAAAGGCCTATCCTAACTAGAGGGAACTAATAATTCTCTTCAAGAAGTTCTTTTAGAGTACTGTATTTTCTGACAGTGTCAAAAGAATTTGAGGACTCCCCACCCCTCATCCCCCACTCCCCAGCATGCTGGATGTATATTCCAAGAGGTGAAGAACCACACAGGAGGAGCAAGCATAGATGAGTTGTGATCTGCCTTATTGCAGAGATTAACCACTTCAGGGAGACTGCAACTCCACTGGAGTACTGGAGTACCAACATATCCTGCTCAGGGTTGCCCTGGCCAACATTGTTTCACAGTAACATCATTAACAGAGCATAGTCAAAACCCATCATTAACACTGCTCAACTGATCACTCATGCATAAAATTGTTCCTGTATAACTAACTGCCTGCTATAATATGATTTTGTCTAACGTTGTGTTTTCACAGCCCCAATTACCAGTGTTAGGTGGGGTTTGCTTGCACTAGCATCATAGCTCCCTATAGTCCACATTTTTCCACATTCTAATTAATTCCCCAAAGTGCACAATAACAAAGTGTTGTTCACTGGGGAGAATACAAGCAAACAAACACATAAGGCCAGGACTTTTTAGATTTGAAAATCCTAGGCTGGTGGGGAGGGGGGAAGGCAGGCAGGGGAAACAAACAGCCAGTTTGCCACTTCCGTCTCTTACGTCCGAGAGATTTTTATTTCCCCCTCCCTGCTTTTCATTGAAAAAATCTGAGGAGAAATAAAACATACTGACAAGACAAGCTATTACAACCCTTGAATACCTTCCAGTAAATTAAATCTGTCTCCATTAATCTGCCTCAATATAAAGGGTACGGATTGATTGGCCAGGACATTGTGAAAATGTAGATCTACTTTACCTCTGGCAAAAGAATGCCAATTGTTAATTCAAATAAGAGAGGAGAAAAAGCAGGGCAATTCAGACAAAATCTTAGTTTTTGCTTCTTTTCTATTCCTCCAGGAACCTCCATTTTGAAGAAAGGCCTGAAACAGCCATGCTTCATTCTCTGGACTTCCTCCCCTCCCCCCTTTTCAGCTCCCTTTTATGCTTCCCTTTTGTCTTTCTCCCATTATAATGTAAACCCCTTGAGAGAGGGCAAGGGCTACCTTTTTTTCTTGCTTGTATTAATATCCCAAGTGCTTAGTACAGTACCTGGAACATAGTAAGTGCTTAAACTCTTTCGAAGGGAAGTGTTAGGAGGGTATTCCAGGTGTGCAGATAGCAATGTGAGCTAAGGACAAAAGTGAGAAAGTGTCAACAGGGTGGAGTCTAATTCAACTATACCACAGATGATGTCTTTGTTCTGTCATTTCAGTTCAGTCCTGTCCTACTCTTCATGACTCCATTTGGTTTTTTCTTGGCAAAGAATTTAAGAGAGCTGAAAAGACAGAGTGGCCTCAGATAGTAGAAGGCCTTGAATATTAGAGTTCACACTTTACTTGGAAGGCAATAGGGAGGCAATGGAAGGTGTGATCAGAGGGGTGACATGGCTGAATGTCAGAATTAAGAAGATAAGTCTAGAACTGCACGGAACCTCAGAAGCCAGTGACTCCAGCCCTCTCATTTTACAGATGAGGAAACTGAGGCTCAGGGAGATTAGACGATTTGCCCAAGAATCAGAGGTGACATTTGTATATCCTGAGGTCCTCTGACCCTAGAGCTAGGACCGTTCCCAATATGGCATGTTGCTGGCTCCTCAATAGTCTAGACATGGTCCTAGAGGTCCTAGAGGAAGCAGGATCAGCTGAGGTCAAGGGCACAGGGAGAGAACAAGGAGTGAGGTTGTCTCTTCCTCTGAGACAAAGAGTATGGAGAGAGTGGGCATTGATGCTTAAAAAAATGCTAAGGATAGTGGAGAACAGCTGAAGGATCTGAATGCTTCTTTCCAGGAATACTATTGTTGTTATTCAGTCGTGTCTGACTCGGGGTATTCTTGGCAAAGATACTGGAGTGATTTGCCATTTCCTTCTCCAGCTCATTTTACAAATGAGGAAACTGAGGCAACCAGGGTTAAGTGACTTGTCCAGGGTCACACAGCTAATAAGTGTCTGAGGTCAAATTTGAACTCAGTTCTTCCTGACTCCAACCTTGGAACTCTATCCTCTGTGCCACCTAGCTGCCCTTTGCAATAATACTATACTTCTACAACAAGGAGGATGTGTTCAAACAACACATTTTGTTGTCAAACTCTAGTACTCAAGGTAGAATCAATATAAGAAATAGGTATATATATATTCCAGGACATCAGAAAAACAGGATGATAGTATTAGAGGATAATTATACACTAATTAAACCGATGTCACATATGCCAGAAAATATCAATCAACAAACATGTATTAAACTTGTTATACCAGGGGGCAGCTACGTGGTGCAGTGGATAGAGTACCGGCCCTGGATTCAGGAGGACCTGAGTTCAAATCCGACCTCAGACACATAACATAACACTTACTAGCTGTGTGACCCTGGGCAAGTCATTTAACCCCATTGCCTAAAAAACAAAAAACAAAAAACAAAAAAAACCTTGTTATACCATGTGCTGAACACTGTACTAGGCACAGGGGAAAAAATAAAATGAGATACTATAACCCCAGCCCTCAAGGACCTTACATTCTACTGAGGAGACAGCAGGTACATACATTAATAACAGGGACTGGATCTATGATTTCATTGGTTTAAGGTGGTATAGGGAACTTCCAGGTAAGGATGTGCCTAGCTAGGTGGCCAGGAGGATAGAGTGCTGGGTCCAGAGTCAGTAAGACCTGAGTTTAAATCTGGCCTCAGACATTACTAAGCTATGTGACTCTGGGTAAGTCACTTAACCTGTGTTTGCCTCTGTTTTCCCAACTATAAAATAGGGATAATAACACCTATCTCCCAGGGATGTCGTGAAGATCAAATAAGTGCATATTTATAAAGCATTTGACTTGGCAAAGTGCTTGGCACATAGTAGGTGCTTAATAAATGTCTTGTCTTTCTCTCTCTCTCAATGTAATAGGTGGCACAGATGGTACCTGAAGTAAAGAAAGGAAGCTGAGGCCAAAGCGAGGAGGGTGACCCTTTCAAGTTCGGGCACAGCCAGTGCAAAGCATAGGAAGAAGAGACAGAATGTCATCACTAGTGAGAAGACTATAGAATACAAGAAGGAAGTCATGTATAATGAGGCTAGAAAGGAAGGTTGAGGCCAGGTGGTATAAAGGGCTTGAAGTAATCCTAGCATGAACCTAACCTTGAACCCCAAAGCCCATTAGTTTGGGACTCTTTCTTCATTGGTGGAGATAGATGTCCTGTGCCTGCATGAAGGGCAGGGGCGGAGCTGGCAAGATCACAAGAGAGGAAAGCTTCATTCTCTTCAAACTCTGGAGTTTCTTCAAGTCTTTGGATATTCTCCGAGCTCCCTGGGTCCCTGCAGTTACTTAAGGCACATCTGGCTTCCAGCTTCAGGAGAGAAAGGTACAAGATGTCAACCCTACTTCAGATTGCTGAAGGAAAAGACTGTACTGTCTGGTTCATATTCTCCTATGTATACTTTCTCTGATTTGTTTTACTATTGATTTGGATAAATGGGTTCCTTTGCTATTAGCTATGTTCATGGTGGAATTGGTATTTGGTGGGACGGTAGTAAAGTCTTAGATATAAAGTTTGGGTCCTCCTTTGCCCATCAATGAATAGTGATCAGAAGTTTAGTGTGGGCCAGAAAATTACACCCCCTAGCCTAACAATATTTAAGGGAGCAGATATCTATCATGGCAATTTCATCCCAGTACCTCCTCTCTCTGAGAAGAGTAGGCAAAGTGGCAAAACCTTCTGGCTCCAACCTCCTGCTCACCCTCCTAATTAATAATGATTTGGAGCATTTTTTTTCATATGACTATAGCTAGCTTTGATTTCTTCATCTGAAAACTGCCCATTCATATCCTTTGACCATTTATCAGTTGGGGAATGACTTGTATTCTTATAAATAATTCCCTGACAAGAAATAAAGTCTCCCTTGGAAAAGGTGGTAGGGACAAAAAGCTAGAGATGACTGTTCTGCTTCTCTTGAATTGTACAATGACATTCCCCATGCTACATGTGGGGGACAGCTCTTGTTATGTGAATTTCTATACTTAAAATCTTTTTTTGTAGTTATTATATATTGAGTAAGATTCTTTAAAAATCCATCTACCTGAAGTTTTTATTCCCCATTGGCATGTTGGTGGGGTAACAAACTACAAAGACTACAGTGATATAGGGCAGCAGATCAATCTTGCTATGGGTCTTGGGCCATAGTGCTGTGATGAGACAGCAATCTACCTCTTCTTCTTCCCCACCCCTTTGACACTCAAAGCCATGGAGAAAACAACAGGAATCCAATTACTCAAGATAACCTATCAATTATCCTAGCAAACTTCTATCGGTTTTTACCTACTTCTTTTAAAAAAGCAATTGTCAATAGCCATCAAGCAATCTATCTGCTGTGGAGTATGTGGCCTACAGCCAATACCGCTTCATAAAGGATCACAAGATTTGCAACTGGTAAGGAAATGATTGATAAAGTCAATTTCTATAATAGGGTTTTACTTGAGGAAAGCTCCCTTCAAGCCTCAGCTACAGTCCCACCTTCTGTGAGAAGTCTTTTCCAGTCTTGCTTAGTCTTACAGTCTTCCCTCTGAGACTACCCTCTAAGTTATTCTGTCTCTATCTTATTTGTTCATTGTTGTTTGCATGTTACCTTCCCCCATCAGACTGTGAGCTACTCAAGGGCAGGCAATGTTTGTTTTTCTTTGTATTCTCAGTACTTAGCACACAGTAGGCATTTAACAAATGCTAGTTAACTGACTGACTGATCAAAAGATCCCTAGAACTGACTCTGACTTGCCAGAGCTGAATTTTCTGTAAAGGAACTGCCACTACACGGTCAGCAGCATGCAATACTTTTCTTTGTAATCTTCCTATTTACATAAAGGGCCATGACCAGTCTTCAAGGGCCATGAGAAGCTTCTGTCCATGCTTAGATTTCTCTAGATATGATAAAGAGATTGAGAATTAGTTTCCTTTGCTTTTTTTCATGCTGTCCTGCCATGGTATCTGCAAGCTCTCTTTGAACAAAGTGAATTTTCCCCAAGGACTTTTGTCAGGTACAGTCAGTTCTGCTATAATGCTTGTTTTGAAAACACAAATTTGTTCCAACCCTATTGGTAGAGAACAATTTGAACATGACTCACAATTTGTATTGACTTATGTGTGATTTCCTTCATGAGAAAGCAGAAAATTACACAACTTCACAATAACTCACAAGTTACAACCCTTTTGATATCCATTTCTACAAGCAAATTTTAGGGTTTTTTTTTCAAGATAGAGTATTGTATTTATTATATATCTTCTGGTGTTGTAAGATGCCAGGGCAGAAAAGGGGAAAAGAGCTGGTCTACAGACTCCACTCCAGTCTTCCTCTCCCTACCTTCCCCAACTATCCCAGAGCTTCAACTTGCAGAGGACCCCTTTCTGTTGGTCAATCGACTTTGTCATCCTGGGCCCCATTGCAAACTGGGGATCGGACTGACCAGTAGTCTGAGTCCCCAGATGCCACTACTACTTATTGTAGCATGACAATTTTAACATGCATAAAACTGCTTCCATTTTTATTAGGTTCCTATCTCTTTTTTTGTGCATGACAAAGTTTTTTGAGTATTGTGCCCCTAATCCCATTTTCCCCATAAGCCCTGTTATTTTTATTGCTTGATTTTGCATAGCATGATAATTTTTTAGGAATACGTATGTCACATTATAGGGCAGGTAGGTAGTGCAGTGGAGAGAGTGCCAGGCCTGGAGACAGAAAGACCTGTCAAAAGCCTCAGATGGGGCATCTGTTTGGCACAAGGGACAGAGCACCGGCCCTGGATTCAGGAGGACCTGAGTTAAAATCTGGTCTCAGACACATAACACTTACTAGCTGTGTGACCCTGGACAAGTCACTTAACTCTGTTTTCCTCAGTTGCCTCATCTGTCAAATGAACTGGAGAAGGAAACAGCAAACCACTCCAGTGTCTTTGTTGAGAAAACCCCCTATGGGGTCACAAAGAGTCAGACATGACTGAACAACAACAACACCATCACATCATAGCAGAACTAACTGCATAGAGAATAATTTGGAGAACAAGTAGTCTCAGCTTTGCCATTAGCCTGCTATGTAATTTTGGGCAAGATGCTTCATTTCTCAGTTTCAGAAATCTTTTGGTCCAAATGCTTCATTTTTAGCTCCTGTACTTTCCTTCAGAAATCTGCTTGAATACTGTTTGTGCATATAGCCATCAGTTCAGAACTAGGAATGGAAAGGGGAAAAGAAATAAGCATTTATATAATGTCTACCTCGTGTCAAGCCCTGTGCAAAGCACTTTTTAAATATATATTATTATCTCATTTGATCCTCACTACAATCGTTAGAGGTAGGTGGTGCTATTATTATTATTATTCCCATTTTATAACTGAGGAAACTAAGGCACAGAGGTTTAAGTAACTAGCCAAAGGTTATAAGATCTACCATGTTACCAGCTGCCTCTGACAACTACTAGATTTACACAAACCAGGCTTAAACTTGGGAAATCTCACAAATCACTTCCTTTGGCTCTTATGCCTCCTCGGGATGACCCCAGGGACATAAGAATATAAATTACGTCTAAGACTCTGCAGAAAAGGTAAAAGGATCCTCAATTCCCACCCAGGCTAATAATACATTGAATACGAAACAGGCTTTATTTATCTGCACAAAATGCACACACACAAAGAAAAGACTCCTATGTTAGTCCATGAACAGTCAAAATAACTCTCCTTCCTCTCAGAGAGGCTCCCACCTCTCCCAGGGACCTGTCCAATACTTCAGACTTATAGTAATGTCCTCTAAAAGGAGAAAGCATGGAAAGTTGCTTGAGAGTTGACCCCTTTTCCCTGCTTCCTCTTCCCAGACATGAACAATGCACATAACTCCCAACACAAATAACCGGCCAGGTCCAAGTTGGCTTCTCCTCACTGTCAATTTATCCTTTACTGTTCTTTGGCTCCAGCCCCTGCTAAGTCCCAGAACTCCTTAGTTTATTCCAAGAAGTTGGCATCCTACAGGAATTCCTCCTCTTCTTCCCATGAGGTTTGGTCTTAGAATTCCTCTATTTGTCCATGAACTCCCTGATGCTTCACAGCTACCTCCATCTCCTGCCATATCTGGGGCCATATGGTTCTTTCTCTCCTGGTGAAGAGGTCTAGAGGTTTTGGGGTGCTGCCAGAGCCCCAAGATCATGGTACCGGACCCTGTCTGAAAGAATTCAACTCAAATCTTCAGCCAGAGGAAAAGTTTATTAGTGATAAAACACATAGGCCAGGTGATGCCATAAGGATGAGCGGGCATGAGAGGTTCTCAGCCTTGTGGGCCTGAGATTCTCAGCCCTGAATGAGGGCCAGGGTAGATCTTATATACTTTGGGTGACCAGGGAAGGGTCTGGGAAAATGGCCTGGAAAAGGGTCTGGGTGAGAATTCCCAGAGATTGGAATGTCTAAGAGATTGAATAGACAATGGGAATAGATAATGAAGGAACTGAAAGGTATCTGAATGAGATTAAAAGGTAGGCTAAGGCTTTCAAAGGGAGATGAGGGGCTGGGGCCTGTAGACAAGGGGAGCCAGATTCCCTTTGGGACAAGGGGCGAAGACCTCGGCTTGGGCCACACCCCATCACTGGGGCCATTGGGTGCTCTGGAGAGGCTCTGCAGATACTCCAGGGAACTGAATCTAAATTTCAGTGAGTAGTCTTTTTCTTCCAACCTGTGTTCCTCAGATATGGTTTTGCCAGACATAGACTGCCTGTTTTATAGAGGGTACAAAGTTGTAGCTCAGGTGATCTGAAACTGTCCCTACATCAGTTCTTCATGTCATGTTAGCAGACTAAGGTGTCTACAAGGCAAGGAGATTTTACACCCCAGAAAGGAGACAGTAATGAATGCCAGAACAGTATCAAGTGTGATGTCAGTGGGGTTGCTTAGAGCTTTTATTGGGAGGCACCTTTAATACCAGGACAAAGGCCTGATGCTTTATTTAATCTTGTAGTCTTGACTAATCTTTTTCCTGGACATGGCCTCCACCAATAACATCTTCATGTGATAAGGCAGTGTAGTACAGTAGAAATAGAACTGGACTTGCAGTCAGGAGATATGGATTCAAACCCTCTTCCTGACACAGTCACTTAAATTCTTATTCATAGTTTCTTTATCTGAACCACAAAAATAATAATATTTGTTACCTACTTCACAGGATTGCTCTGAAAAAAGATTATGAAGTGTTATGTAAATGTTAAGTTATAATTATAATAGACCTATATAATCTCTCCAGTAATTTTTTTTGGGGTTGTCCTTTATTTTTTACAAGTGATGTGGTTTGGGGTGCTGGGAACTCCAAAATGTAAGGGTACTGGATGAGTCTGCCCAGA